CCCCTATATAGCAGCTTCTTGCTCCTAGTCGCGATGCCAGGAGGCCCTAGTAGCTTCTTGTTACTAACAGTAATGCCAGGAGCTAGTAGTAGCTTCTTGTGACTAGTAGCGATGGCCTCCACCCTAGTAGCAATGGATGTTTCTTCTGAAGACATAGCACTGAAGCTCCCCACAGAGACATGGCCTGACCCACAAACGTCGAGAATTGTACCGCTGAGTCATCCTTATAAGTATCAAGAACTTTTGCAAACATCCACATGCATCAAAGGATAGATTTGCTCGATCACAAGGCTGGTGATAGTTAAAATTCTAGTTCCAGGGAAAGTATTTAGCAGCAATGCTTTGGGTGACAAAGGAGTGCAATTCCTCTTTGTTTGGTAACAGACCACAACCGTGTAGTATCTTGATCCGTTTGCAAATCATCACCGACCCACATGCTATCCATATTCATGTCTCAAATGCATCGTCCTAGAGCAGAAGTGACAATGATGTCATCAGGGCTAATCTGGCATCGCTACTAGGAGCGATCGGACGCTACGAACGGGGCTCCTGGCACCTTGCACCCATTGACACCTCAGAAAATAGCCATCAGGGCCACCTGGGCCAAGCAATTGCACGCCACACGAAATTGGGGCCAAGCAACTCAGGGGTATCCTCAGTGGCTACTAGCAACAAAGGGCATCGCTAGTAGTAACAAGTGCCTTACTAGTAGTAACAAGAAGCTACTAGTAACAAGTGCATCGCTACTAGTAACAAGTGCCTTACTACTAGTAACAAGAAGCTACGAACGGGGCTCCTGGCCGTACTACTAGGAACAAAGGGTTTTGCTCAATGAGCGAGTCCTGTCGAAGACACATCGATTTCTTGTCGGACGCAGGTGCAACGCCTGAACCAGCAAGCTGCTCAAACTCAGCAGGCATCATGGCTCAAGGCTCGTGCTCAGCATACCCAGCAAGGTGAGAAGAGAATCGAAAGAGAGAAAAAGAATAAAGAAGATAGAGGCAATAAAGAAGAATAGTTAAAAGAAACTAGAAGAATCAAAGAAAGAGATAAAGAAAGGTTCGAAGATCAAAGGAAAGAATGCGTATGGGTATGAGACAGTGAGTGCACAAGACCGGAGACTGCTAAAGACAGGATAGAAAGAAGGTGGACTTGGTTCCGTGTTAAGAAGGCCTCATCAAGAAATGGACATACGGATCCTTATCAGAATAAATCTCACACTACGATAAACACACGAATCTAATCAAGGAAATCTTACGATCACTAGAAAACTAGTTGAAAAAACACTGGAAAGAAGGATTAGGCCGTGGAGGTTGGCCATGAGCAGGTAGCTAAGTCAGTAGCCAAGAAGTAGCTAGGTAAGAAGTACGTAAAGATGTGTTTAAGAACATTGAGAAATGGGAAGAAGCCAAGAAGAAGCTATTAAGTAGCTACTACAAGCTACTAATGGGGGTACTCAATAGCTAAAGCTAGTAGCTGCTACTTCTAGCTTTTTTAAGCAAGCCACTACCGCTTGAACGCAGAAAAGCAACTCACATGATTGATTTGGTTCCTAGACATTTTGGGACACTGGGCGAAGTCCACCTTCTTTCGTCCCTTTGGCAGTGCATTCAGTGCTGAGCAAGGGTTTCAGCCTCTCTTGCATAAACCAGTGTGCTTTTCAGTGATTTTGCGCGTGAGGTTCATGTTTGTTCTTTCTAGTAACTGGTTGGAGGCCATCGCTACTAGTAACAATAAAGCTTTCTAGTAACTAGAAGCTTCCTTTTTCACCTGTAGCAACAAGAGGCTTTTATGTTGTTCTTTCAATCTGAAGTTTGACCCAGCTGGTTTTGCTGTGATTGGCAATATAGCAGGACAAGGTCCCGTTCCTCCATCATTTATGTTTCCCAGGCTTCATCCGAGCAAAAACATGTCCGTGTCCCTTTCGTCCTTGTCCTCCAACCTAATTGCGAGGGCCTCCAACCTAGTAGCGATGAAGTGTTGCGTCCTTGTTTTTTCCTGATTGTTGTCCGCAAGGAAGTTGCCGCGGTCAAGAGGGGCATTTCTGCACGGCGGCGAACTAGCAGCCGGGAACTTCAGAGGAACACACGGGATGTCAAGGAGTACAGAAGTAGGTAGACCCAAAAGAAAGAAGGAAGAAAGGTCTAAAGAAAAAGGAAAGAGAGCAAGAAAAAATGACAATTATAGAAATCACATAAATAGAATAAATTCAGAGTAAAATGTTAAGCATTCAAACGTGTGAGGCTATAAGTAGACTCGTGCCGCCTTGGGTAGCGGGTAACCCAGACTGCACCTGCACGAGGCCTAGGCCCGGCAGTTGCCGCTGCAGGGCCTGCTGCGAGTACTCCAGGGAGGGCATCTGCAACAGGCAGGACGAACCTACTAGCAATGGCCTCCAATCTAATAGCCATGGCCTGTTGCAGAGAAAGGAAAGAAGGGAAGTAAGGGTAGAGCAGAAAAGTACATGTGTTTTTCCCGTAGAAGTGAATCGATTTGTTTGCAAAAGGAGTCTCGCAAGGAGTACATATTCAGTCAGTAACAGTCAGTCTTCAAAGAACAGAATTATGGTTTTGGCATGTTTTTGGACTGGCAGCTGGATGGTGGGACTGTTTGGACTGATTGGACCAGCTGATTCCAACGGCGACTGCAGCTCCACCAGGCCGTGAGGTGATCGAGGCCCTCAAAGGGCGGGCGGTTTTCCAGACGAAACCGATGGCAGAAACCGATGTTTTGGGTAGCAGAAATGCCGAAGGTGGTGGTTTAGTTCGGGAAGTACTCCTAGTAGCGATGCCAGGAGCCCCTAGTAGCTTCCTGTTCCTAGTAGCGATGCCAGGAGCCCCTAGTAGTAGTCCATAAAGACAATCACAATTGGTTGGATCGCCTCACGGAACCGTGGGAAGTTTCATGTTCTAACTTCAGACCTGCAAAGCAGTGAACAGAGTGCTGGTTGAATGGCAGGTGATGTGTTGTTCTCGTGGTTGAGCTCATGCTATTGTTCTTTCTTCACCTTATGAGAGGATACTTAAACGCTACTAGGAGCAAGTGCATCGCTTCTAGTAACAAGTGCCTTACTAGTAGTAACAAGTGCATCGCTAGTAGTAACGAGTGATCAGAGATGATATGAGTCCTGAGCAGAGAGCCAAACCTGAAAGACGGACTCAGCGAAGCAAAGAATCGAAGAATGAAGACTTGTTCCTACTAGCTTCTTGTTACTACTAGTAAGGCACCTGTTACTAGTAGCGGGGCACTTGTTACTAGAAGCGATGCACTTGTTCCTAATAGCTTCTTGTTACTTCCCCTTATGTTTGTCAAGAGGCCAGAAGGTCCCCTTGTAAAGGGAAAAGGGGAAGACCGTGAACGAGTTGGAGGTGTGAGAACAAGACCAATAGGAGTATGATCAAAGAATTTCGTCTATACTTGTTCTAGGCGACTTTTCGGTTTGGAAGCTCTGCCCAAGTTCCCATCTTTGGGGGTACCCTCCTATTTAGGGGACTCCTTGTTTGAGAAATCTCCGCCAACGTCTTTGATTTGGCAGGGCCATGGTTTGTCATAGGTGGAAGTGATTAAAGGCTCAGAAAGTCCCCAACAGCTAGAAACATGTTGTGTATTCTTTCAATAAAAGATCTATATCACCAACCATCAGTCAAAACTTTGTTGGCAAAGCCTAGGTAAACACAGAGGCTGACCGATCTTACCATTCAAGTTAGTGCCATACCGCAGAGAGATGGAAGCTGTTGTGCTACAACTTAGATCCTTTAAGTCCTGTTGGAGCCTGCTCCGGAACCTCCTCCGGAACCTGCTCTGGAACCTGCTCCGAAGTCGAACCTCCAGAGCTCAAAGAAAACCTAAAGCTTCGCCGTTGTTGAGAAAATGAAAAGAGTAGAAGTGACAGAATACACAAAACATCAATTCTAGACAATGCTGTCCAAAACACCCTGGGACTTAGCCTTCGTTGCACCTGAAACTGCTTGCAGGCCTCAGCGCCTTGCGCAGCCGACATCGAGAGGCCGGTGGCACAAATGGTTTGCACGTGTGTGTTTCATTCCTGACGAAAATGAAGCGTTAAAGGTGGAGATCTCAGTACAGCGTAAAGGGTTCAAAAGGCAATGTCATGAGCCTTTTGCGCATGTCCTTTTGACGAACTGTTTGTTCCCAAGTCCTTCCCTCCTGAGGCCGAGCAAGCAGATGCCGGTATCGGAGGCACCACAGGAGTTACAAAGGTTACACGAAGCGTTCAAGAAGACTTTTCGACAATTCGCAGCCACAATTCGCGGATTCGTAGTAGAGTCCATAATAGTCCACAACAGTGTGTTCAGATTGGAAGACTTGTAAGACGGCATGTTCATCAGATTCAAAGACTTTGTGACTTTGTGTGCTTGCAAAGTAGGTTGGAGGACACCGCCATTAGGTTGGAGAGGCCATCGCTATTAGGTTGGAGGCCATGGCTAGAGACTTCGACGCTGGACAGAGTTCGCTTCTTGTAGGCCCGGAAAAGCTTTGATGAAAAGACTGACAAGGCAATTAGAGAAGATCACAACACTTTCAGAGGGTGAGGAGAGAATCAAAGTATACTAAGAAGCAGTAGGAAGAGGAAAAGACTGCTAGTATACTAGCAGCTTTGCTGATTGATTTGAAGTTTCTCTTTCAAGTGTTTTGTAATTTGAGTTAAAGTGCATCGCTACTAGTAACAAGTGCCTTACTAGTAGTAACAAGAAGCTAATGGCTGTGACATGCGACACGGTGAGGAGGACGCTGATGTGAATACAGTTGGATTCTCTCTCCGCAGCCAGGCACCACAAAATGAGGCGCATAGATGGCAAGAGAATTCCTCGTTTCGCCGATTCTGCTTGGGCTTTTTTGGATCACTAACATCCAGAGAATTGAATCCTTTCACAAGTAGACCATGGTGCAGTGGCAAGCAAGCATAGCCTGAGCCTTGGACACTATATGAATCCAGAGAATCCGGTGAAAGCATCAGGAACAAGTGCATCGCTACTAGTAGCAAGTGCCTTACTACTAGTAACAAGAAGCTAGTAGTAACAAGTGCAT